AAAAAAAAACCTATCAGAACCCAAATATTAAAAAAAAAAGAACTATGCAGTGTCTGGGCTCTAAAACACATCATCTCTGTAAACAATGCACCTGGGAACTTGGTGTCATTTTCCTGAAGATAGTATAGGCTATCTTTACATAGTGTTTTGGATCTTGGCAACCAAGGGTCATCAATGGGAACAATGTTAGGTATTGTGTCAGTGAGTTTTCCCATCCCTGACACACAACACTTTTACCTACAGCACAAATGAATAAAAATTCATGTGGCTCATGTTTTCAGGATATTTAGTCCATGGCCACCTGCTGCTAAGGCATAAACATCATGGTGGAAAGGCATGGCAAGATCAACAGTGCACAGCTCATAGGGGTTGTGAAGCAGAGTAAGACAACAGGGCCTGGAAGAAGCAGCCAGGGAACAGACAGAGTATGCAAGGTCACACCTCCTTGATCTACCCACCCACATCAAGAAGTGTGTTCCATCAAGGTCCCATGTGGCTCCCAAACTAATCATACTGACACAATCAGAGTTAAATATTATAGATAGATAATTGTGTATTCAAGAAATCATGATGAAAGATTATTGGGTATTGAAGAAATCATAATGAAAATAACTTTTTATAATAAAATTTGTCTTAGTTCTGTATAAATGTTATCTGAAATTTGTTTTAGGAGTACAGGATATCTTTTAGTTGAGTCAGGTAATTAGCTCTAAAATCATTTCAAGCAATTTCAAGGGATAAACAAGCATTTTTTTTCTTTCTTAAGAAGAGTAGTCCCTGAGGAAGTAGTCATGAGGGAATCTCTGCCTTAATAATTTGGTTACTGAAATCTGTGATTGAGAATCCAAGTGCTTGTTCACCTGTTACCTCCAGGTAGAGAACAATTACAGTCTCCTTTCTGGAAGTTCAGGTGCCCTTCGGTAAGTAAATAAGCACAAGTCATGTTCTTCAGTTCCAAAAACATTACCAGATCAGTTAGAGATTCTGATAATTTCTTCCAGATTAGGATAAAAGTGCTTCCAGCTCAAGTGTGTTGTCTTCTACCTACTGGGTCTTCACCCTTCTCAGGAAAATTGGACAGGAGATAGTAGAGAATATCACCATAGCTTTCAGTGAGGAAGGGGAATGCCTGCCTTACCATGGCCTGGGATGTAACCTTACAAGTGCAGACTCTAAGAGTTAGACTGCTAACATTTATTGGAATGAAGCTCCGTATATTTGTGATTTGGTAATGTTCTTAAACCTCAGTTGCTGCCTTTATGATGTAACAATAATAGCATTGCCCCAGAGCACTTAGAACAGAATGTCTTACAGAACAGAACTACTTGCAGAGCTCTTAAATAAATGATAGTTTAAAAACAATATTAAATCTGCAACTCCATGACCTAAGAGATCTTGGAAAAACATAGTCTGTGTATCAATTAAAAATATTTAAATGGTAATGGAATTCTCATCTCTGACAAAACTAAACAAAAAAGGAGATATAAATGAAGGACAATTTTCTTTTTTTGCAGTACCAGGGATTGAACTCAGAACCCTGTGCTTGCCAGGCCACCATTTTGTATCTGTGTATACAAAATAGTTAGGATAGATATACAACTACTTTCTCTTAATTCAATGAGAAGGAAGATTTGTACTAATAGTGTTTGGCCAGGATATCATGTCTGTATCTTGTACCATGAAAAACTACTATGAAGACAACAATATGCAATGTATTAATTATTGTAACTGTCCTACTAACATGTTTTGAGGATTTTTTTTTCAGAACTGATGATTGAATTCAAAACCTTGCACTTGCCAGGAAAATTCTTATTCTACTGAGCCATCTCCCTGACCCCTAATGTTTTGAAACTGTCTCATTGCTGTTTTTAAATAAAATTAATGATAAAAACTTTAAATATAAAATACAAATGGTGAATTAAAATAACAGTAGAAGTACCTCACTTTTGGATCTTAAGATATTGATCCAGAGCATGGTAGCTTGTGCCTCTCTGTATAGGAAACAGTCTCAGGAGAGGAATGAGGAATGAACAGAATTTATTTCAGCATCTACAAAACCAAATAGCTTGTTCATGGTGCTGCATCCCTTGCGCATCACCAGCTGTCATTCTGGAGGCAAAGTTTATCTTCACATGAAACTCTGGAAGTCAAAATCATCTGGTACTTTGCTATCCATAGCAAATGGGAAAAAAATCTCCACCTAAAGTTAATTTTTTTTCCTATGTATTCATTTTTCAAGAATAGGAGAGAGATACAGAAGGATCATTGTGCTATTCTTTGTTTCCAAGCAGTCTTTTTTTTTTTTTTTTTTTTTTTTT